CCCAAATGGCCCTAAGGATTTTAGACTATTTATTAAATGTTTACTTATTTTTGAGAAAGAGAGCACCAGCGGGGGAGTCAGCAGAGAGAGAGGGAGACACAGAATCTGAAGCAGGCTCCCTGATACAGGGCTCGAACTCGTGAACTGAGAGATCATGACCTGAACCAAAGTCGGAGGCTTAACCAACTGAGCCACCCAGGTGCCCTGGTTTTAGACTATTTAACTCCCCTCCAAAAAAATTAAACTGTCCAACTCTCTCACATAAGGAATTCTTTGGCTGGGATTGTGGAGTTCATTTCTACCCCTTTGTCCAGAGACAGGCGGGTTTCCCCCGCTCTCTCCATTCAAATCGGGAAGGGTGTTTTGTTTGAAGGGTGAGCCAGGAGTCCCTACGGATGCAAACACAAACCACCATCTCCCACTGTGGAGACCGCGAGCCAGAACCGACTACAATCTGGGGTTCTGGGACAGAAGCCGCACGAAGGAACGAAAGGAGGGCTTTGAGCGTCTGAGGGCACCTTGGGGCTGGCACTGCGAGGCGTCAGGGCAGCAGAAACGTCCGCTTACAGAAGGGCGCACCGCAGAACTGTGGAGCAGCGCCTGCCTCTCCCTCCTTAGACAGAAAGTACCTTTCTCCTGTGGTCAGACTTTGGCCTTGTGCCGTGAACTCCACAAAGGCAGGACTGGCCGCCTTGCCTCCAAGAGCCTAGCATGTACTAGGCACACGGGGTGGCTTTGCAGATTTAGCGTTGCTGTGTGGCAGGGGGCCAGGCTCCGTGCTCACCGCGTAAATAGACACCAGAGCTTTCCTGTCGCCCTCGGGAGGTGTCTTGGGAAATTCAGACTCTCTCTCTGAATAGAGAATGCAAATTGCCACTTGGCTGTACGGCCTATAATTAATCTTATCTCAGTGGTTAACCCATAATTCACGCTGGGCTTTGTTTTGTTTTGTTTCGGAAAATGAAAACTAGGCGTCCTGAGAGATGAACTCACTTTGGTCTCAACAAGTGAAGTCAAAGTACAACATTTCTACAGTGTTTCTGCTTAGAATGTGCTGATGGATGTCAAACAGACAAGTAGGGTCATGGGCGTTGCCAAAGGTCTGGGTGGTTTCATGACTAATCACTATAATTACACGCTTGTTCACATCTGGTTCCCCTGACTACAGAGACAGGGTTTGTGGAAAAAGGAATAGAGATTTGATCAGAAGACATTTAAATAGAAACAGTCCCTTTTACTGGGGTGGAGTGAGGGAGGTGGCATGAGTTAGCCCACCCTGTGGGCTGGGAAGAGGCAGGAGTGTGAACAGAAAGTTGACTGTCAGCTCGTCAGTGGCATCACTGCGCCGGCCATGTGCGGAGACGTAGGGGATGAGAGGCCTACATGTGAGGTTGTCATCCCACTGAGGACAGGTTATGTGGCACCGCCCACAGCCCGTCACCTCCTCAGCCTGGCACAAGGGCACACATTCGAGGTGCAGAGGAAGGGCTTCCGGGGCTTTTTCTGGCCATGGAGAAACTCAAAGGCTGCTGAGCAGAGGTCACAGCTGTCATACTGACCTCGTTTGCAATCTCTACCCAGCAGGATAAAAATATCTTTTAAAAAGAAAGCTTTTAAGGGAACATTCTTAGAAGCCAATATTCTTAACTCTTACTTCTATATTCCCGGGGCAGCTTGTTCTCAACTGTTATCTGCTGATCTCAGTAGAAAAGGGTGGCCAGTGCTCTGTTGAATCAGAAAAGAGAGCAGGACCCATGGGCAGCGAGCATCCTACAGGCAGAAGGGGGTCCAGGCCAGGCCGTCTTCTCCTGGCCAACTGAGTGAGTAACTGGGAGAAGCTTCTTCCCGTTGGGAGAGGCAGAGGAAGGAGCTGGAGAAAAGGAGATGTGCATCTACCACCTGTCTGATGGCTTTGGGTGGCCGCGACTTATGTTTGCACATACGTGATCAGGGGTGCAAACACAACAGAAGACCCCTAGGAAGCAGAGCTGGGTGGACAGAGGGACCAGCTTAAGTAATGAGTCAGCGGAGGACCACTCTTGACAGGCTTTCTTACAACTTGGACCATTTCAGCCTGTTGATGCAATTAAAAAAAAAAAAAAAAAGTGCTGGGGGATATTTCAGGAAACAAGATCTTTGTAATGCTCAGAACAAAAATAGAGGAGAGTGCGTTGTTTGTCTAGAAGCTGCTCCTGACAGATGCCAAGAAATCAAGATCAGTTGCCTCAGGGGAAGATACTAAAGAACTTACATTGTCCAGAAAAGTTCAGCAACAGACACGCATCTTCCAGCTCTCCCGCAGAATGCCCCACGGCAGAGAGTATGTGAAATCTAGAACAAATCACTTGACTCTCACATCAGGAAGACGATAGAGGCTCTAGGACGGCAGAGTATGTATTGCCCCATCACTGTATTCTTCAGACATGGGTGACGTTCCCTCCCATAGGCTGCGGTGGATGTGCATTGTTTTGTTTAAGTAATCTCTCCACCCAATGGTAGGGCTCAGACTCATGACCCCAAGATCAAGAGTCACACACTCCACCAAACTGAGCCAGCCAGGTGCCCTGAGCGGCATTTAAATGAGAGGAACACTGCAGTAGCAAAGATAGGAAGAAGTTCCTGCAGAAAATTTGGGGTACTGTTTTGAAGGTGGAGAAAGAAAGGTGGGGGAGGGGGAGTCCCCGTGGCGGGCTGGCTTTGTCCATTGGGTGCCATCAGGCTGCATGTGGTAAAGCTCTTTATCTCTGTCATCTGATCTTCAAGTTCTTCAAGTGTTTAATGTGGAGAATGTGTCACTGATACAGGCCGAAGGGAAGTGCAGAGATCTTCTTCAAACAGCACAGCCAGGGACTGCAAAGTTCAGGTTTCATTTAGCTGTGTATTTAAATACAATGACACCTCATCATCTTTCTCTCAGGAAAAAAAAAAATGAACTTTACTTTTTAGTAAGTTTATTAAATTTTTTTTTTTGAGAGAAAGAGAGGCAGGGAAGGGCAGAGACAAAGGCAGAGAGAATCTCAAGCAGGTTCCACACTGTCAGTGCAGAGCCTGATGTGGGGCTTGATCCTGTGAACTGTAAGAGCTAAAACCAAGAGTCGGACGCTTAACCAACTGAGCCAACCAGGCGCCCCAGGAAAAAACATCCCTCAGCCTGGTACGTGGATACTTACGGTGGATGAGAGAATGTGTGGTTAAGTTTTGAAGTCCAGGGAAGGGGACGGGGAGAGGCTGAACAAAAGCATAAAGAGGAGCAGAATGGGGTTTTATCTAGATCACTCTTTGTGAGAAATTCTTGTTCTTCTGTGAGTGGCGTTTGCATCCATGAGCCCGGGGTAGGGTCAGGGGGTGGGGACCAAGCAACTGGATAGGGGAGAATCCAGGACACCCACCCAATCCCCTTACACACACACACACACACACACACACACACACACACCCCAGATCCATAGAGCTGGTTTCTCTCTTGTTGCTGTAATATTTTTGGCAACAATCAATCCCTTTAAAACTTTCTACCTTACAGAAAAAAGAACCCAGTGAACACAAAACACTAATTATGTGCATCCCCTCGTGTTCATTTCTAATCGTCGCCAGTATTTATGTACGTCATCACAAGTGTGAATTTACTACTTTGTGTTCTAATTTTTCACTTCATCTTCACATTTCCACGTGTGGCTAGTTAAGCTCTAGTCCCTGAAAGCCCCAAATAGGTAGGAGACATACACTGCCATTTTTATTAGCTACCAACTTCTAGCCATCCTCCAACTGTTGGCTCTGAAGGGGTAATATCGGATCTTCGCAGTTGTGAATAGTGATACCAATCATCCCCAGGCGTCTAGAAAGGTTGAAGGTGATCCGAGCTATGCAGAAACGTGTTTCAAGTCCCAGACCATTTCGAGAGCTTGAAAAGTTCAGGCCCAGATGAAATGAAGTTTGCTGGAAGGCCTTGGCTCCGTACTACTTGATAACAGGTCATAGGTTTAAAGTCCAAAAGGGCTCGGATTTCTACCTCATGTTTGACGTGTGAAGCCTCGATCCGGATTGCTGAGCCGACTTCCCTGCACCTCGGCCCCTGGCGGGGATATGGAGGTGCCGAGTCCCTGGCCACCCCACCCCACCGAGGCGCTTGGGGACAGAGACACCGGTCATGCTGGCATCCCTAATCTGCATGCTCCTCTCCCTGGCTCTTCCCGACCCAGAGAAGTGACCCACCGGCCCACTGCTGCAGAGTAACAAGTGGACCAGCCTCAGCAGAGCAGGCAGAATAGGTGAGCAGCGGCGCCGCCCAGAGCCCGTCGGACAGGCGGAGGCACAACGTGAACGCAGGACAGCGGAGCGCTGATGGACTGGTCACAGCGAGAAGCAGCTGGACTCTCTAAGAGCGGGGCCGCAAGGAAGAGTGAACAAGCCCAGAGCTGAGGAGCTAGCGGTGCCTCCCACAGGGTGGCCTTTTCACCTCGCGCCTCTGCTCTTTCCTTTCAAAGTCATACTTACAATTCATAGGAAATATATGGCATGTTCAGCTTGCAAGACGGAGAGGATTGTCCTAATCTCTTTGCAGGCAAAACCCGCTTCTTTCTTTGTTATTCTTTTCCCAGCGCAGCATCCAGGACAAGGTGAGTGCTCTGCGAAGCTTTGGTGAAGCAAGCCCTGTTCTTATATTCTTCTGAGTTGCTGGTAAACCCCGGGATGCAATTCCAGTCCCGCAGAGTGAAGTCAGCACTGTGTTCTTAAATAGAGCCCGTGCAAGACCTTGGTGACTTGCTCTCTATTTGTGTTTGGTTGGTTGTTTTGGTCTTTCCGTCTCAAATTGCTTGATTGTGATTTGATACCTCGTGCAGCTTGAAAAGTGTAGTTGATTTTTTTGACTGCCATACAGAATGTTTCACGCTTGACGGAGACGTTTGTAATCCCATTAATTAATGTGGTTTAAGATGTTTGCTGAGTTAATACCAAAGATAAGTAAAATGCATAATTCCCTTCTCCCTGTGCCTTTCCAACAGAGCTCTCAATCCCATTGGTTTGAAGCTCTGAGGAGACCCGCAGATCTGAGCACTGAGGATTCGGTGCGGGTCCTCGGCAGATGGGTGTCGGCCTCATCTCCTGGCCAGCAGGATGGATACCACGCCCTTAAATTCCCAGAAGGAGCTGTCATCCTGTAAGGATAAAGAAGACTGTCAGGAAAATGGAGTTCTGCAGAAAGGTGTCCCTGTCCCCGAGGATAAGGTGGAGTCTGGCCAAATCTCCAATGGGTACTCAGCGGTTCCGAGCCCCGGTGGAGGAGATGACACTCAGCACTCCATTCCGGCTGCCACCACCGCCCTAGTGGCTGAGGCTCATCAAGGGGAACGGGAGACCTGGGGCAAGAAGGTGGATTTCCTCCTCTCGGTCATTGGCTACGCTGTGGACCTGGGCAACGTCTGGCGCTTTCCCTACATATGTTACCAGAATGGAGGGGGTCAGTATCATGGGCCGCGAGCAGAGGCTCTGACCCAGGGACGGTCTGTAGATCCTCTTGGGAGGCCAGAGCAGAAATCATGTCTCTTCTGTCTGGTTTCACTGAGGAGTCTGGGAACATGATTGCTCAGGCTTTCGAGCTAGCCCAAAATACAAATCCCCCCGGGAAGCCAAACTGCTAAGTCAGCATGTGTGGGGCTCTCTGGGTCATGAAGTTGGGTAAAAACTCTCCCAAACCCAACCTCGCCAGATTTTCAGCATCCGTACCTTAGTGCTTCGTTCGTTGCAGAGCCCCCTTCTCATCCCTGCATTATCCAAGCTGCATTCTCGCAGCGAGTCCGGAGAGGTTATATCCGTGTAAGGAAACATTGGGAAGTGGCTCCAGGGTCCCAGGCCCTCCCGGGTCAGAGAAGGGTGTCAGCCCGGGTCCAGAATCTGGAGTTAGAACCTGAGCGTGATCCAGAGCTGAACCCGGCCACAGCATGGCATTGATGCTAACCCAGACCATACGCGGATACGCCTTGTATCTCCTACGAGAGTGCTACATTTTTGAGGCTAGAGACTATTTCTGATTCCTCCTCCTACCTTCAGAGCAGTTAACTCGTAGATTATCTAAACCAGTAGCTGACTGTAGTGTGGATATGAGAACCCCCAAGAGGAGAGTGAAGAGGAGTGGGTAGGTATGGGGCTTCTGTGTTGACAATGGACTTGCTATCAAAGTGGGAAAAGGATGAGAACTGGAGGTCAAATCAGTCAATATTTATTCTGACAGAAGCTCTAGGCAGTGATTTGGGAGGGCAGCTAAAACCAGGTTTGGGGAAGAATTCATTAGTGTCCTTCCTCATTGCCTCGATGGCCTGACACACAGTTACCAGGATTTGCTGCAGTTTTTAAGGACCTTGGCCCTTGCAGCTGCAAAGGCAGTTTGGGGGGAGGGCTAGGAAAACCCAGCACCTCTGCCTGGGAGGAGTGGAAGTTGGAGTCACCTTATCTCCAGCCTGGAAGGGCTCACCTTTAGCCTGAGCTTTATATAAGGGGCTGGGTTGCTGGTGACGTTCCTCCTACACCAATTCCCCACCATTAAGCTGGACAGATGCCACCCTGAGAACACAATGTGGTTCTTATTCTCAAGCCAGATTTAGCTTGAACTAAAGCAGCATGATTGTAAGTCAGGTGGGACCTTTCTGAGTTGCACCGACTCCAGGTTTCGGGGTTCAGAGCACTTGACGGGAGGGAACGTTATCAGGGAAAATCACCGCTGACCCACCCCCTGAGCTAAACTTCAGGCTGCAGGTGAGCACTCCCCACCTTGGTGTTTCCACATTCTGCCTCAAGTCACGAGAGCCAGGACACGCCAGCATCTCCAGTGACACAGCAGCCCCACGCTTCCTCATTTTGTGACAAACTACCCTTTTCAGCCACATCTGCAAAGATGGCCCAGAAGGGAGCATTTGGCTCAGCAGAATTCTGGAAATACAGCCAAATGTCAATAGCAAGTGTCTGGGGCCAGGGATGGTACGGATGAACAAAAATACTGATTTGGTGACTTGCAGATTGTTGCCGCTATTGCATGATTGTCACAGGCAATCTGTCCCCAGGGTCTCGAACTCTGCTCCATGTACCAGCTGCATCAGAATCACTTGTGCAGCTGAAAAGTTTCTGTCTTACGCCATATCTGAAATTTCTGCTTCAGGGGGCTGGGGTGGTTGTGTGTTCTTAAGCTCACCGGTGATTATCCTGTGTGGCTGGGTTGGGGGACCTCAGGCCACCTCAACCCTGTCATTAAAAAAAATTTTTTTTTAATGTTTTTATTTATTTTTGAGAGAGACAGAGTGTGAATGGGAGAGGGGCAGAGAGAGATGGAGACAGAATCTGAAGCAGGCTCCAGGCTCCGAGCTGGCAGCCTGGAGCCCAACATGGGGCTTGAACTCTGGAACCATGAGATCATGGCCTGAGCCAGAGTCAGAGGCTTAACCAACTGAGCCACTCAGGCGCCCCTCAACTCTGTCATTTTATAGGGGAGGGAAAATAGAGGTTCAGAGGGGAGAGGGGACTCAGGGTCGTCCAGGTGGTTAGTAGTGGGACCAATTCTGGGGCCTGGCATGTTGCGTCCCAAATCCAGATTCCTTTCCACACACTCTCTGCCTCCTTTGTGTACTCCCTGAACCCCCCGTGTCACCGTGGAGCTCTGGGAGAACACTAAGAGCAGGGGGCACACGTGAGGTCCCTTGGCTTCATGACGCTGTAGCCTCAGGTGGCCCCGTGAATCTTGGCGTGAGCCCAGTCAGTTGGGCTGTCCTGGGACGGACGTGGGCAGGGAGTAAAACTGTTTTCCATCTGATTTAGGGGCATTCCTCCTACCCTACACCATCATGGCCGTTTTTGGAGGGATCCCGCTCTTCTACATGGAGCTCGCGCTGGGCCAGTACCACCGAAACGGATGCATTTCGATATGGAGGAAAATCTGCCCACTTTTCAAAGGTAACTGAAAGGCTCAGGTGGACGGGTGGATGAGTGGGCCCTACAGAGCAGAGGTGATTTCCATCTGTGCATGGGAGCCAGAGACCCTCTTCTGGAATCAATTAGGCCTTAAAGTAGCTCTGGGAGATTACTTAAGTAATTCAGTTTTTGACGGTTTCAGTGGTATGAGATTGTTAAAGGGAAACAATACATGGCAATCAACAGTAAACCTGGGGGAGTCACCTGGGTGACTGTCAGTTAAGCGTCCAACTCTTGGTTTTGGCTCAGGTCATGATTTCACCGTTCATTGAGTCCGAATCCCTCATGGGGCTCTGCATTTGGAGCCTACTTGGGATTCTCTCTCTCACCCTCTCTCTCTGCCCCTCCCCTGCTTGCACTTCCTCTCTCTCTCAAAATAAAGAAATAAACTTAAAAAAATATTATATAAAAAAAGTAAACCTGGGTGCCTAGCTGGTGGAGCATGTGACTCTTGATCTCGGGGTCATGAGTTCGAGCCCCACCTTGGGTGTAGAGATTGCTAAAAAAAGTAGCCTTAGGGGTCGCCTGGGTGGCTTAGTCGGTTAAGGCTCCGACTTTCGCTTAGGTCATGATCTCGCGGTTCGTGGGTTCAAGCCCCGCGTCGGGCTCTGTGCTGACTGCCAGCTCAGAGCCTGGAGCCTGTTTCAGAGTCTGTGTCTCCCTCTCTCTCTGACCCTCCCCTGCTCATGCTCTCTCTCTCTCTCTCTCTCCTAGAAATAAATAAAATATTAAAAAAAAAAAGTAACCTTAAAAAATTATTAAAATAAACATTTTAGTTATAAATAAATAAAAGTAAACTTATAAATAAATAAAAGTAAATCTAACAGACCTGTAAATAAAGAGAATAAACTGATGGTTGCCAGAAGGAAAGGGGGTGGGGGGATGGGCAAAATGGGTGAAGGGGAGTAGGAGATACAGGCTTCCAGCTTCGTAATGAATAAGTCACAGAGAGAAAAGGCACAGTGTAGGGAACACAGAGGCCATGGTGCTGTAATAGCACTGTGTGGTGACAGGCGGCAGTGACATTGTCGTGGGCACAGCAAAACATATAGACTTGTCCAATCACTATGCTGTACCCCTGGAACTCATGGAACGATGGGTGTCAACCACACTGAAATAAAAATATTTTTTAAAGCAAACAAAATAGAAAAAAAGTTTACAGCATTAACAGCACACACACATATTTTCTAAAGTGTGAAATCTTGCAGATACATCCAAGGAATTTACCACATCGCCACCTTTCCACCACCTCTCAGAGTCTTGGGGGATGAAGTGAATGGCGCCCCGACCTGTCTCCTTCCGGCTGCAGGGCCCTCCACGGCCCCGGCGCAGTCTTTCACTCTTGGGCTGTCCTTTAAACTCGGCCTCCCTCCCCGTCTCCCCAGGGATCGGGTATGCCATCTGCGTCATTGCCTTTTACATCGCCTCCTACTACAACACCATCATGGCCTGGGCGCTCTACTACCTCATCTCTTCCTTCACGGACCGGCTGCCCTGGACCAGCTGCAAGAACCCGTGGAACACGGGCAACTGCACCAACTACTTCTCCGAGGGCAACATCACCTGGACGCTCCACTCCACGTCCCCTGCGGAAGAATTTTACACGTAAGTGCGTGTAAGTGAGGGGGGGAGGGGTCTGTTAGAAGCAGGCCACGCCCCTGGGGGTTGGCTTCCTAGGAGGGGGGCTGTGGGAGTAAAAGTAAGTGAGGGAGTGGCCGACTCTGCTTTGAGTGCTCCCCAATCTGGCCCTTTGTGCTGTTCCCCTCCTTTCTTTTTTTAAACTCTTTTTTTAACGTTTACTTAATTTTTTAAACGTTTATTTATTTTGAGAGAGAGAGCGAGGGAGGGGCAGAGACAGAGGGAGACAGAGACAGAATCCCAAGGAGGCTCCATGCTTTCAGCACAGAGCCTGACTCGTGCTTGAACCCACCACGTGAGGCGAAATCAAGAATCGGACACCCAACAGACTGAACCACCCAGGAGCCCCTATTTATTTATTTTGGGGGGGGGAGAGAAAGTGAGCACAGGGGAGGGACAGAGGGAGAGTAAGAGAGAGAATCCACACTCAGCACAGAGAGACCGATGTGGGCTCCACTGTGAGATCATGACCTGAGCCAAAACCAAGAGTCGGACATTTAATGGACTGAGCCACCCGGGCACCCCTGCCCCCTCCTTCCTGATGTGCCAGGCCAGGCAACCCCAACGTGGCCAGGCTGATTCCTCCATTCACATTACAAACTCACTCCCCCATGTCAAAACCGCCCATCTTCCTGGGCCCTGCTCTCAGTCCGTTGTCATGGAATCGGAGCCTCGCGTTGCTTCAGTGGTTTAAAACCATCCAGGGTTTCTGCTTTCATGTGTTTACTTCACAAGTGGCATCTATTCTTTGGAAGAAGGTGCCTGGGATGGGTAGTATCCTTTAATGCCTGAATTTTAGGCAGCTGCAGCCAGGAGAGAGTAACTTGGGGCTGGGGAAGGGCCCACTACCCACACATAGATGCCGCCCCAGCCTGGAGTCCGCCTTGGGGGCTCTGTGCTCTCCTAGGGTCCGTGGGCTGAACGTAGCTCCCCTCCATCAGGACGCGCAGCCCCAGCTCTTCCTGAGGCATAGCGACTGCTCGGTCCTGGCAGCACAGCACTGAGTCTGTTTCTTCTCCGGACAGCCCCCTGGGGGGTGCGGGGGGGGGCCCTCAGCTCACTGGTTCACAGGCCTTCCTTTCTCACTCGCTCCAGGCGCCACATCCTGCAGATCCATCGGTCCAAGGGGCTTCAGGACCTGGGGGGCATCAGCTGGCAGCTCACCCTCTGCATCATGCTCATCTTCACCGTGATCTACTTCAGCATCTGGAAAGGCGTCAAAACATCTGGCAAGGTGAGGAGGACTCTGGCTGCGGACCCCGGCCTGCTGGTGGGCCCCAGGGGATTCAGACTCAGAACTCAGCAGCCCGGACAGCCATGGACAGAGGGACATTGTCTCCTTCAACACCAAACACGATTTATGATGCTCAGTTCCTGTTTACCAGATACGCTTAAAGAAAATTCCAGAAATGGGCCAATCCCAGGAACACATTACCTGATTTTTTTTAAAAGTTCTTTTAACCCACTGGTGGTGTCACAATTATTAATAGTGACAATAATTTGTTGAAAGCCCATGATGGGCCATGGTGATGGGCTTTATATACACTGGCTACTTTATTGCCTTTTGCCAGGCGTGTTCCCATATTATAGATGGGAAGTGGGTTTAGAGGGGGCAGTGCTGGCGAGCTGCGAATCAGATCCCTGTCCGATTCCACAGCCCCTGATAGTTTGCCACCCTGTCTTCTATAGTTACAGAAAAGAAGAGGTACATCTCCTTCCTTGGAGGTTTTTGAAAACAAAAGATACAAACGTCTGCGTGCGGACAACCTGTTTCCACCCCCTTTCTTTACAGGTGGTGTGGGTGACAGCCACCTTCCCTTACATCATCCTTTTCATCCTGCTGGTTAGGGGGGCCACCCTCCCCGGAGCCTGGAGGGGTATCCTCTTCTACTTGAAACCCAACTGGCAGAAACTCCTGGAGACAGGGGTAAGAGAATGAGGAAGACGATGTGCCCTTGTCTGTCATTTTACTAACTGAAGCCAGTCCCCACCCTTCCCCAGGAGGGACAACTATTGAAATTTAGGTTCAACGGCAAGTCTGCAATGGTGCTTTAAACCAGAACTGGAAGCATGAAAGGTAGAGTTGAGGCCAGTAGATTGGTTTATGCCTCAATGTTAGGAGGAGAAATCACACTTGTTGGCACTCGGTATGTGGCCATCCCGGGCATGAGCTTTGAGAGCTGGGTTTTCACTTTACACGTAGCCACCTGGATGGAAGAGTGCGGACCCGGGACGCAGCCCTCACCCCTACCTCTGCTGCCTTCCAGGTATGGGTGGATGCTGCCGCACAGATCTTCTTCTCCCTTGGTCCTGGCTTTGGGGTCTTACTGGCTTTCGCTAGCTACAACAAATTCCACAACAACTGTTACCAGTGAGTATCTTGGGCCCCTCCCCCAAGCAAAGCCTGAAGGTGAGGTGAGCGTGAGTCAGCTGGCCGGGAGGAAGGGGATCAAACTGATGGCCTCAAGCGTGGCTGGGCTCGGGTGTGCCACAGATCCCTGACCAGTTCCCTCGTGGCCAGAGCACCCACCCTGTTCGAACCCTCACCCAGGCCATTCAGAGATTGAGAGGAGCTCCAGGCCACTTGCGTTTTGTGAGAGTCTCTGTATATCAAAAAAAAATTAAGAAATTCCAAACAGATTTACAAAAATTGCAACACATATTAAATATTTAGATTTCACTCATTAATGTGTTGAACAAAAATTGTAATGTGATAATTTCCTTATGTACATATTCACCAAAGTATGATGATTGAACTATTGTGGCCAATACAAAATGCCATAATTTTTGTGGCAAAATCATGTCAGAAATTTTTTCAAAACAGTGAGTGTTGTACCAATTATGATTTCAATATCACTGATCATCTTTATTTACTTTTTAATGTTTGTTTACTTTTTTTTGAGAGAGAGAGTAAGCAGGGGAGGAGTAGAGAGAGAGGGAGAGAGAATCCCAACCGGATAGCACAGAGGCCGACACGGGGCTCCATCCCACATGGTGTGAGATCACGACCTGAGCCAAAACCAAGAGTCAGATGCTCAACTGACTGAGCCACCCAGGCGCCCCCACTCATCATCTTCAGAGTTAACTTTTTGTTTTAATGTTCTACCACAGAGGGCAGTGTCCAGCTGTCTAATTGTGCTTGTTCATAAGATAATTAACAAATTATTTTATTCTTAAAAAGCAATGCACAAATACCTTAAATGTGGCATTGCATTGGGAACTCGGCCTGAAGTTGTATGATGAGGGGTTCTTTTAGAAGTGTTAGGATATTGGGGCACCTGGGTGGCATCTGACTTTGGCTCATGGTTTGTGAGTTCGAGCCCCAAGTTGGGCCCCAGCTCAGAGCATGGAGCCTACTTCGGATTCTGCATTTCCCTCTCTCTCTGCCCCTCCCCCGCTTGTGTGCTGTCTGTCTCTCAAAAACAAATAAGCGTTAAAAAACGGTTTTTAGGGGCGCCTGGGTGGCTTAGTCGGTTAAGCGTCCGACTTTCGCTTAGGTCATGATCTCGCGGTTCGTGGGTTCGAGCCCCGCGTCGGGCTCTGTGCTGACTGCCGGCTCAGAGCCTG